TTTTTTAAGCCACTAAGTTTGTGGTAATTTGCACAGCAGCAATATAAAATAAACATACTCTGTAATGGAATCTAAAAAGGAATAAATAAAGCTTACTTTTTTGCAAACATCAAGTGAAATACTGTAAAAGTCTTTAAAATCTGCAAAGCATTTGATTATGAAATTCTAAAAACATCTGTGGCCGGGCATGGTGGCTTATGCCTGTAATCCCAGCACTTTGGGACGCTGAGGCGAGCGGATTACCTGAGGTCAGGAGTTCAAGACCAGCCTGGCCAACATAGTCTCTACTAAAAATACAAAACTTAGCCAAGTGTGGTGGCAGGCACCTGTAATTCCAGCTACTTGGGAGGTTGAGGTAGAACTGCTTGAGCCCGGGAGTTGGGGGTTGCAGTGAGCTGAGATTGTGCCACTGCACTGCAGCCTGGCCAACAGAGCGAGACTCTGTCTCCAAAAAAAAAAATTTGCATTATCATAACCCATCACTGAATACTTACTATGTACTGAGGGAAAGGTTGAGGAAAAAAGAAAGACTATAACTGTTGACTGTATTCTCTAGTCTGCTACAGTAGTTCTTGATGCCTCTTTAAAATTCAGAAATGTTCACTGTGGAGGGTAATTAAATCATCATATACTTGAAACCTTGCGAACTAGACCAGAGTGTGAATTCTCATGGGTCTAGAACAGCTATTTGAGTCCACCATTTCATAAAAGGGTATTTGAGCTGCTTAAGCATTACCAATTGATCATTTCTTTTAGCTTGCTGCCTGCTTCTCATCTGAGAAAATTATGGAAAGGATTTAGCTTCAGAATAATACCTGATATTTACTGAACACTTATTAAATGTCAAGCTATACTTTTCATCCAACATTTGATTCTCACAACAACCCTTTTAGGACAGTACTTTTATCACCACCATTTTTAAGATAACAGGCACAGGGAGGTTAAATAACCAGTGCAAAGCCACAAGGCTGACAGTTGATAGTATTATGATTTTTAAAAAACAGGCAGTCTCACTCTACAACCCGCTCAGATACTATGCAGAGTCTATATTATTTCAATTATTTTACACATCTGGGACAAGTTTAGACAACTTAGGCAATTTGCCAAAGGTCACTGAGATATTAAATGCCAGATCAATGATTCAAAGGTTATTCGCTTCCTACATCATTTTTTTTTTTTTTCCTATACTCTTCCTTTACAATTCTCCAGAAGAGGGTAAGTATACTAAGAAATATCTATGACTTTCATCTCTAATTTCTTGACTCATATACCCGTCAGGATACCAATGCTTATAAACAACTTGGCACATATACTGATTTTAATTTTAAAAAAAGATCCATTTGAGGCCATATTAAGATTTAAAAGCCAAGATAATAAATCCTGATGTACTTTGGTAAACCTGAATGAGTGTTATAGATTTATCATTAATACTGACTTATATGGAGGTCTATATTACTTCACACAGGTTTACTCTAGAATAAGCTCTGGGGTTTGACTGTTGGACCTAATTCCTGATGTGAGTATTTAATAAAATATATCCCTTTCTGGAAAGCAAAATGCTACATACTTATTGCGGAAAGCAGCTTGATCCCTTGAGCTACTTACGTTGAAGTAGAAAAGCAATTATACAACTTTCTTTCTAGATCAAAAGTTGAGTGTCTGCGGGCAACCCACATGTAACTGTCTTACCTTTGTGGAATGGACTTCATTATCTTTGCCATTTGTGACATTTTGAAATACAGGCTTCTTTAAATACTTGCTTTTTAATGTCTAAAAAGTATTGGGAACAACTGTCATTCTTGTTTAATCTATTTTTAAAAGGCAACACAAAAATAAACTTTCTCAGTCTCCTCTTATTAAAAACATCCACAAACTTACATGTTATCACCATGTTTGTGGACGCTCACGGGCCACTTAACGATTATGCTGCACAACCTACAAGAACCTACTTTCTTCCATCTGTTTTGGGTTCGCAACATGGTATATGATTTCTGAGATAAGTCTTAGCGAATGCATAATGTTAGCTCCTTTCCTGGCTTAAAATTATGATTTGCATAAGTATCTCAAATCAATTATCATCTTCTTATAGGAACAAAAGTGAATGTCACAAGGAAACATAATGTGGACTAAACAAAAAGCATATAAAATGTACGTATACACTATAGTTTAATTTGCCTTGTTTTCTTCCTTTTAGGCACATCATATTTGCTCCAAGTAGCCACAACAAATATGCTGGAGAATCATTTCCTGGAATCTATGATGCTATCTTTGATATTGAAAATAAAGCCGACTCTCGTTTGGCCTGGAAAGAAGTAAAGAAACATATTTCTATTGCAGCTTTTACAATTCAAGCAGCAGCAGGAACTCTGAAAGAAGTGTTATAGGAAGGTCTCAAGTGGCTAGCCATTAAAGGTGTTGCGGAAAGTCTGAGGATAAAAATTCACCCTTCTGATAACTTACGAAGCCAGGGTGTTCTAAAATCTTTTCGTGTCATGTTTTGATTATAGGCTTTGGTCTTTTCATCTGCAAAGGGTTTTTTTTTGTTTTTTTTTTTTTTTTTTTTGCTCTTTAAACGTTAATTATATTAGCAACGTGTTAATCTAATGAAATAAAAAACTCCTGTGTGGCAAAAAGTAAAAGAAAATTCCCTAAATTATAGCAAGGAACGTGAATTCTCAGACATTGCAGGTGTGGGAATGTAAAATGGTTAAACCACTTTTGAAAACAGTTTGGCAGTTTCCTATAAAGTTAAACATATACTTTTACTTTACGACTCCAGAATTCCACTTCTAGGTATTTATTCAAGAGAAGGAAAAACAATGATCACAGGAATACTTGTATGCGTGTTCATTGCAACTTAAAAGTGTAGACAACCCAAATGTCCATCAACAGATGAATGGATAAACTGTGGTATATCCACAAGACTACTTACTACTTAGCAATAAAAATGAAGTAACTTTCAATAAATGCAATATTATTGGCAGACATTGTTGAAGGACAAAAGCCAGACAAAAGCTACATAGAATATGCTTCTATTGAGATGAAATGGCAAACTAACCTGTAGTGTTAGAAATTAGATTAGTGATTGCCTGGGCAAGTGGCAGGTTGGGGAGGATGGCTGCAGAGAAGTATGAGGAAACTTTCTCCAATAGATGAGAATTTTCCGTATCTTGATCTGAGTGGTAAATTGTAAACTTAAAATGTATATATAATTTATTGTAGGAGAATTAAGCCTCGATAAATGTGATTACAAAAAACAAGTCTGGCAAGGAAACCAGAATCATATACCTTCTCTTGTGAAATCACCATGAAGTGTGAATGGTCAGGAAAAAGCCAGTAATATTCATACATTTAATAATTTCAGCTCTATTGAATAAACATATAAGTCTGATGGGTGATGAAAATAGCTACTACAATCTTCACACTCTAACTCCTGTAAAGAATGTATGTCAGAATCTGCAAACTTTTATGCAGATCCCAATGACTCGATTACATGTTAAACTATGATTAAAGCTTCAATAAACTTGGTTGTTCATCTGCTTCACCAAAACGAGTTAAGAATTAAAAATTAGAAGAGCCTTCATAGGCAGGCACAATAACTAAAATAAGAAATGATAGCTCAAAGCTTAACTACAAGGAAAAACTGTTACCCTTGCTCCCAGGCCAACAATACAGTTTAACTTAAAACAGTGGGGGCATTTAGTTTAGGGGCATTTTCTATACATCTCAGTATTACTAGAGGTATTTCACTGATCCCCCAAAATAAAATAAGTTGCAAGTATAGCAATGGTTCTGTCATCAAGGTAACTTTTAAATATGTTCCATTCCTTCTGCTTAAAGAGGCAATACGGCGTGTTATTTATGAAGTATAAATAAATATACACAATTAAGACTTTTGTAAAAGTTTTTCTCAAATCTAGGGAGTTAACTTCACTACCATGCTACAGTACCAAAGTATAACACTTTAACTTTTGCCTTGAAGCATTGTGTTGTAGAAAAAATACTGCATTAAGACCCATGAATCATACTATCTAGTACCCAACTGAGTAGATCACTACATATCTCTGGGCATCAGTTCTCTCCAATTCTATCATTTCTAAAGGAGACAAAGCACAAAGGTTTGGAAATCTCTTGGGGGTTCTTCCTACTGGTCGTTTTCCTGAAGACAGATGCGAGCTGCCAAAACAGCATACGTGGTTTGAAATACGAGTTTGGGGTAAAATAGCAATCATTGCGATTTAATTTTTCCTTTAATTCTTAAGTTTTGTTTTTATAATTTTTAATCAATATCTGATTGTTAGCAACAGAACAAGTGATTGTGTGGCATGCACTATAATCAATTCAGGACACTGAACATAGAATATGTGTTATCACATGTTAAACAGGGTATATGTTTGGACTTTTTAAAAAAAATTTTCCCCCTAAGCATTTGAGATCAGCTGAATTAAGCAGCTAATCATTATTCCCCTTTCATCTCATTCCTTGGTCCAAGTCCTGAGAGAGATACTATCTCTCTTAAGAATACTTAGGAAATAATGACAAGGAAATATTTTGCTTGTCATAGTATATTGCCTGTTTTAAGACCTACTTTTAAAATCAAATAAGCCATAAATTATTATTATGCCATACTTTTAATCATTTAACCTAAATGTTCAATCAAAAGTTGTCTAATATAAAAACTAGTAAGCAAAAAGCATGTGAAATGCATGTATATACTTTAACCAAGAAATTCTAAAAATTGGTTTCTATAGAGAAAACTGGACAGAATGACAATGTATGTGACCAACAGTGTTTACTACAGCATTTTTTATCATAGTAAAAAATAGTAAAAAAAAGTCACAAGCTAAATATCAATGGAGAATTGATTATAGTATAAAAATGAACATAAAATGATTATATATACATTTTTCATGTATATGGTAAGTTGTCCACGACTTAACACTGGTTTAAAAAAGTGATAAAACTAAATATATGAATATCAAACAAAATATCAACAGTGCTTGCATTTCGGTGGTAGACTTTTATGTGACTTGTACTGTGTACTGAATTGCTAAAATTTTTTACATCAGAGTATATTCCCTTTTATAAGGGGTAAAATAATAAAAACTACTGTTTTCATTTTGAACAGACAAAAGTACAGAGTTCTGGGATTCAATACAGTTCACAAATAGTAATCCTATTTTATACCCTTGAAATGTATTATTCTGAGGATACAAATAACACTCATTTATATATGCACACATGAGCCATCTTAATATTTCCATTTAGTTCAGAATTTCAAAAATATCAATCGATCCTTGAAAGTACAGAAATGAATTTAGGGTAAAATAGTAACCTTTGAAATAATTACGGTACTGTATTAGATTTCTCTTTTTCTTGTAATTGCTTTTTAACTTTATGAACTCATTGATCTTCTCTTTTTAATAACTTTTATTCATCTACTTTTTCCAATCCCCAATGTGATTAAATTCAGAACAGTATCTTTCAAGTAAACGATGCAAAACTTCCTTTTACATCATCTCACTTCCTTTCCCCCTTCGTATCACAATTATACAATCCTAGCCAGAATGATCTACCTAAATGTCATCATGCTATGTGCTGTGAAAAAATCCTTCAATGGGGACCTCCATTACCGAAATGATGTGGTAGTACTGGTAATGGCTCCCAGGTTCAATAACTAGGAAAAAATGGATCAAATGCAAAATACACTAGAGATATCAAAGAGCTGTGGAAGCACTTAAGACTAGATGTACTAAAAGTCTTTGAGTCTATCTAGCTAGCTGAGACTACCAACTGTTTTTTTTCCTGGGAGCATTTGCCAATTCTAGGCATGGACTAAAGATCAGGCTTGGTGTGGACTAAAGCACTTTACTGGGGAAAATCAGCAGGACTTTTACTGACTGCATGATCTATCATGATGTACTAGAATCTAGAGGAGCTCCAAACCCAATGCTGAGACTACAGCTTAGGGGTTAGGCAAGTAAGTTTTCTGAACAGGCCAATACCACCTCTCAACGCCAGGCTTCTTCATATCCTATTCTTTCTCCCTTCCCCTCTCTTGTATTTATATGGCCACCTCCTGTCCTTTTTTTCCTCCTCAGGACTCTACTATTTATCCTTCACGAAATCCAACCATAAAAGCTACCAAATATGCACCACAGAAACTTTCTACAGGCTTATCTTTGGCATAATTTTTATTTAACAACCTCTTATTTTCTTTGTTGTAGCCTTTCTTGGAAGCGGAGTCTGTTTAATTATCTCCAGCACACAGGAAGTGACCTGGGTGCTGAATAAAACAAAATAATTAAGCAATGGAATTGCTATAATATTAAAGACGCTTACAAACTTTTATCTTATTTTCAATAAAATCTACACATTTTACATCTATCAACTCAGAACAATTCATTGGGAGGGGAAAAACTACTAAAAAGTCTAACTTCAAATGAACTCAGAATTTCCTGCTAAATCATAAATATGAAAAGCAGACCATCCATGTATGCTAGAGGATCTCTTTCGGAGAAGTGTTCTACAATTTATAACATTTTACAAGTGGTTAAATCCATTAAAACTTCATAAACTTTTAGATTGTCTTTCTCCTGTAATGTGATGGGGCATCTTCCCTCACTTGCTAAAACTGAGAACCCAGCTAGCTTTACATAATTGAAATGAGTGAGTTTGTTTGCCTAATACACTAATACTTGATTTTAATGAATACTCTCACACCCACAAAGTGTCTTATGTTAGCTGCCTTCGTTTGTGGCCTTTTAATAATCCACATCTAAGAATACCGAGATGGAAAAATTGCTCAGAGTCCAGATGATAGTAAGGCTAAGGTTATCTCTAGGGACAAGCATTTAGAACAAACTGCCTGCAAGGGACAAATTTACCGCCATGGGCCTTTTACTTTGACTCAGTCCTACAGCTCCAGAATCCATAACCAATTTCTGTCAACTGCCCATTGGACCTTTAGAGGTTCTTAGTAAGAAAATCAATGGCTCAACTGACTATTGAAAGCACATTATCTTCTCATAGTAATTTAGTCATTTAACTAATATTAGGAAATAAAGGAATAAGCACTAATAATAAGCAAATGGCCGCTTAGATTCTGGGTTTTGTGTGGTGACTTAGGTATCTTCAGCGTCATGCTTAAGAGTGTAAGGACTTTGGAATCAATTTCTAATTTTTAAATTAAATTTCACCATTTGCTATCGATGTAACCCCGGAGGCAAGTTATGCACCTTTCCTTTGCCTACGTTTCTCCATCTGTAAAATACAGGTTATATTGTAAATAATCATGGTGATGTTCTGAAGAGAAAAGCTATCATAAGTGCTTAGCAAAGTGTTTGGCACATTCTAATTATGCAACAACAACAAAAAAAGCTATCATTATATCCACAGCTTCAAGTTACCTCTTATAACTAATACTTCTTAATTCCTGTGGCTAAATTACAAATTTCTGTTCAAGTGAATTAAGTCCTGTGATTAGACACCTACTTTCTCTGAAGGTTTTAAAATTATCTTCAGATTCTGGCTTTGTCTTCCCAATGGCTTTCTGTTCCCTTAAATTTGTTCTCCATCTCTGCCCCCAATTATTCAGCTCTTTCCTACAGATGATTTTAAGTAGCTTTACTGGGGGTATGGTAGAAAGGGGACTTGAAGAAATCTTTAAGGCATCAAAAATAGTCTAAGTTGATCTCTAATATGAACTGAGTAGTCACGGCTCAATTTGTTACTGGAATTCAGCTTTCTTTAGTAGGAAGCCTTTTAAGGTTTTACATAAAATTATAGTGATCCCATTTGTTACTGTCAGCCTAAAAAACCACTTAAAACTTGTGGATTTTCTTGACACAGACAATTTCTACATTTTTCTGTACCTTAAGAACGTATCATGCCTAGTTTTATCAATCATGTTTTATCATTGATACTAACAGAATCAAGGGTCTGTGGTAGATTTATTTTGCTTTTCCCGATCCAGCCTCCAACATTCTGGAAAAAGAATGTTTTCATAAGGGGACCCATTACAGATGGTTTAGGTGGCACACTGAATATTTAGCAGGTGAGCCTAAATACTCCTTTATTGGATTTTCTTATTCCTATGCTTGTGTACTCCAAAGCAGGGATTACCAGTTTTTTCAATGAAAACAAGATGCCCTCAAAGTTCAGAGTGCTATCAATGTTGCATCCTCAAAGTCAGCTAGTGAATTTACATTACTGCCTATTATGATTCTAAATCCTGACAGCCAGACAAGGTCTGTGAGCCTCATATCTTACCAACAGCCTGGAACACTTCATGAGGATTTGTAAACATTCCTTGGACTCAGCAGTCCCTTGTGAAAATCATTTCCTCCAAAACCTGTGTCTATATTCTCTATCTTGTTTAAGCTCTCCCTCCATTCCCAAACCTAGGAATTATCCCACATTTTCATCTAAACCCTAATTCCTTTCAAAATCCTCAATCTCTCTTCTCTTCCTACTGCTTCTGCTGTATTTCATGCCCTCAACTGGTCTGCCTCTACACCAACTCTAATTGTTCCCTTCTATCAAAGCTAAATTTGATGGTGTTTTATTGCATGTTTTATCTAACACAGAGGTAAGAATTACTATTTACAAGCTACATATCACTATCAAATGAAAACTTTTGTGCTTTTTGCAGTAAGGATTCTGAAACTTTTTTGGAGGCTGTTAAGAAAAACTAGAGATCCCAAGAGTCATCAAATCACAAGTAACGAATTGGCTATTATATCCAAAACCATCCAGGCAAAATGACTACATAATTTTATAACTTAACACAACAAAAAATTTGTTCCTAGTTACCAAACACATTAAGAGTTTTCCATGCTATATGCCCATGTTATATAAAGCCTATTCACTCAACTGACAAAAGCAGCACAGAATAGTGGCTAAGAGCATGGAACCACAGAGTCAGGCTACATGACTTTGAAATCTTTATACCACAACACATTAGTTTGAACTCTAGGTAAGCTACTTAACCAATCTCGTAAGTCAGTTTCCTCATCTGTAATATAATAAAAGAATCTACCTAATAGGGTGGTAAGGAAGATTAACAAGTTAATCATAAAAATAAAATCTGAATACATATGAAACTACAAAATGAAATAAGCAAAATGAAGAAAAGCATCAGGGTGTTAAAAAATATTAATACACCAATCTAACCTCTTTAACGAAGGAGGGGAAAGTGCCTCAAGTTCAGGAAGGTTTCCCTTTTCCAGACTCAATCACTAATCTTACTTTTATCAGCAGTCTTTAAAAAGAATTTAAACAGTTAAACAACAGCTCTGCCAAATCAAAAAGGAATGGCAAATTGAATTGACACATAATCTTTAAGCAACATAAAAATGTTTAAGGCTGGAAGTTATGTTTCTTTTCAACGGACATTAAAGGTGGCCCACTAAATGGAAAAACTAAGAAAAGTCATATGAGTTTTTAGTGAAAACATGGTCTTCAGAAAAACTGTTCTTAAAGATAGTCTTCACAATGAAGAATTCTGTTAAGTTAAAATCAAACAATATGCAGAAGAAAACCTATGTAAGCCTGGTATTTTTGAGACAGTGCCATATGTATAAAGCCATAGGCATATACATAACTAAAGGCGGCAAGCCATCCAACACCACCAGATTAAGTTGTAAGACACCTGGGCAGTAGGGAAGCAGTCAGGGATAACGAACAACAACAACAAAACCCTATCTATCAAACAATCAAAATAAATGAAACAGAAAAACCTATTAACAAAACCTAAAAACAAGCTGGACTTAATAGCTTGCATTTCAAAACTAAGGCCATGGATACTGGCGAAAACAAAGTAAATACCAAACATAAATGCCAGATCAAAATAATTTTCAATAAAAGATGAACAACAAAAAAACCTGTTAATGTTCAAATAGATAATTTAAAAGTACCTGACTGTTAAAAAAAATAATTTACAGAGTACACACCCATATATCCTAAAAGGGACACCAGCCCTCATAAATGAGCTTTTAAGAATTTACTTACTGTGAGTATATACATGACATAAATTTTCAGGCTGAGGAATAACTGATTTAAAAAAAAAATTGGGAGTTTGGAGAGAAGTAGTAACTCAAAGTCCCTTTAAAATATTTGCAAGAACTCTTTAAAGTTTCTCTTCACTTTGATGGTTGAATAATTTTCTGAAGAAAATTCTTAATTAAATCCTTGTAAAAAATATAAATTAGAATAAAGTAAAATCATTACAGTCCTTTGCCAGTATAGTTACACCAAGAAGTTACATATTCAACCTATAAACATTTGTTGATTCCTAATATCTTGTTTATAAATTACTGGCATAAATTATTACCAAAAAGGACAAGATCTTAAGACCTTGAAGAGTTCCACTAAAAACAGATGGTAAAAATAAAATGTTCTATTTTATTTAATAGTATTATACAAAGGTTAATTTCTTAAGTTTTATAAATGTTCTATGATAACATAAGATTATAACATTAAGAGAAGATTAATATAAGATATAAAGAACTCTTGTATTATATTTTTACCACTTTTCTGTAAACCTAAAACTAGGTCAAAGTAAGAGGTTAAAAAAAGGCTCAGTTTATTAGGACTTTACTTCCTTTATACTAGTAAATATGCTATGAAACAAAAATAGCATTTTAGGTTTCCCATGTTTAGTCAACAAGCATATATATAATACACCTAACTTTGACTGCTTTGCTACAGTAAATTATTTTTAATGCTAAAAGAAAAGCAAATTTCTACAGAAACAAATCAATAAGCTTTTTTTATTAACTTTTTTGACAAACTAAGAGTAAAACATATGCTACCTAATGATACAACTGTGTCCCTTTAAGTCTAAGATAAATATCATTCAGATTTTTATCTGGACAAGAAATTCAAAGACTCCTTAAGAAAGAAAGAAATGAAATACCATGGTCACTAATGTCACCAGACTAAATATAAAAGCCGTATGTGTGTATATAAAAATCAATGTTTTGATCAATGCAACTAATCTGAGGTTACAATAACTCACTGCTTTAAATAATATTTCAATTACATGTAAAGATTAAGATACTGTTTAGGGGAAAACAGCCTCAGAAAGAAGTATTAACAAAAAGGCCTATTAATCATTACCTTTAATCAAACTAAGTATCAACCTTTCCCCTAACCCATAAAGACTTCATGTCTCTAAATGGTTCCTAAATCATGGAAGATAACTTGAAAAATTTTAAATACATCTCAAGGTATTAGATGCTTATGTACTCCATGTGGGTCCAACTTTTACTGCCCATATTTCTTTTCATGGTAGTGTAATGTCATGAAAGTCTGGTTGCCAGATCTTTTTGTTTTTATTTGTAACAGAGCTAAACCTTTTAACAATTATATTAACTACATCTAAGTTATTTGCTAATGGTAGTAGAATGATATATATGCTTTATTAATGAATACAGTACTTCTACAAATTTTTCTTTATAAGAATTCCATAAATACCAAGGAAAAGAAAAGATTCAAGGGGTTTGGGAAATAAACCCCCTTTAATTTTAAATCTACGTAAGTTTAATTTATTCCCAAACTTTCTAAGTTCTTCCAGAGTTCCGGCCTTCAGAATATTTCCTAATTTTTCTTCTTGAGCTCTGCACTGCCTCAAACATATCCAAACGATCTAATTCTGTGTTACCTATATTTAATATAAATAAAGTACAATATATAATCAACACTGTATCACTAGAATTGTGAAGCTCTTCATGACTTAAAAAAAAAATCCAAAAGAATTAAGCTATTTTATTTAACATGTAATAGTCATAAAGCAACTCTATATATTTAGTTTTCTGATATCCTAATGTATTTCCACAAACCTTTTAAGTCTACAATTTTATATAGTTTTCCATCAGGGAGGCAAGGTATATATAATTTCTTTTTATATTTAACTAAAGGTTTTAGGAGGGCTTAGTCTCTAAATCAGTAACAATCAGTCATAACACCATACAAACACATTTAAATATTTAGGAAAGAGGTTTTTAAGATTATTGCTTAGTCTTATAAAATGGTAAATTGTAACCAAATTGATATCTCTGTATTATTTGTGTTTCCTATACTCTTACATCATACTGCTTGGCAAGTAATGTAAGTTTTGACATAATTTAAAAATTCAAGTAGTTGTAAACAAATTCTAATTTGTTAAACAATTCATATATTCCCCTTTATTTACTATACTACCTCAGAATTAATCCTCCTTAAAAAAGTAATCATCCCACATAGAAAAAAACTGCAGAGCTTCATCTCTTCCTTAAATATTTTCAAGTACTGTAAGAACACAAATCCATGAAAAAACTGACTAAAATTTGATATTTCATCTTGCTTTACTAATTATGGAATAATACGAAGACATAAAAAAAAAGTTCCTTAATATTTCTTTGCTTAACAGAGAAATACAAAGAAATACTGCAATTATGGTTATGGGCTATTTTCCAGCCTCTTCAAGTATAGGACACAACTATGGTTCCTACCAGTAAGGAGAAATGAATATCAATCAATCTTACATAACACAAAAGAAAGATGAGAGGCACAAAAAGACAAACTGACTTTGGCTTTTAAGAACTTAATGTTAACCCTGAAATGCCACATTCAATAACAAACAACAAAAGATTACAGCAGCAAGCCACCACTTCACACAGTATTAAGAATTCTGAAATATGTAATAGCCTTCCTCCCATCTCCCATTCAATCTGTTGTGTCATCTTTTTGTTTTTCCTGCTTTTTAGCTGCAGGCAGTTCAAGGCTTGCCCACTGCATTGGTTCCGCTTTTCTCATATTGATTTCAATCTTTGTTGCAGTCATAGTTACATAACTTCGCTTTACATCAATCACCTGTAACATATCAAAGAGAATTACAGGAAACTTCAGTGGTTTTATTCGTCTCAGAGGAAAACATCAGACTTGCTTATGCCAATAATCTCAAATCCAAGCTTCTAAAGGCTTCTTTTATATCTAGACTTAAACTTTTTGGTAGGATACACTTTTAAGTTATGGATCTATACTTTGCATCAATATTTACTACAGCACTGTCTTTTATTCTACAAAAGATCTAAGTTATCAAAAAAAATTATTATAAATTTGTAATACTTACACCCCATAATTTCACATTTTGATCAAATTCCTTCTCTCCTTCAAATACAATGTGCACATTTAACTGAAAAAGATATACACAGTTAATTGATCAAATTCAAACTGAAGATTTATGGTATCAAACACTGATTATAAAAATAAGACTGACAAAAATGAATTAAGCTATTTTAAGAAACTGCCAATACTGTATTGTTTCATATGAGAAAAGCCGCTGACAAAAAAGAGTAATTGGCTTCAAGTTTCACACTGATAACTAAGTACTATATTACTTGATAAATCTACTACAGTATCTTCAGAATGGTTCAGCAGTAACTCTGTTATGCAGAAATCTTCATTTAAAATAGTTTCATAGATTTAATTTTTTTTAATGGGAGTCATTATAAAATCTTACCCACAAATCAGCTGAGATATAAATAATACTTCAAAATACAGTAACATAAAGAATGATGTATAGAAAATAATTTTTACTCAAAATTTTTAGATGTACTTACCAATGTGCTATTTGCTTCTACTCGACTAAGTTCTGGAAGTGAATTTTTAGCATATACTGAAATGGTAACTTCACCTCCGGTCTGATGCCAGTCATGTCTACATGGAACAACTTTTTTACCCTGTAATATAAGAGAAACTTTGTAAGTTAAAAAAGTGCCACATAATTTCTTAAAAAGAGGAATTTGACCCATCTAACTGAGAAAAAAACTACCATGCACAACTAAGCACTTATCTTTAAGGACAAAAAAATTCTAAATTTCCCAAGAGGCTTAAACAACAAAATATATCATGATACAAAGATTCTTCATAAATTTTATGATTTGAGAACACACTTACTCCTTCCCTTTGTTTTTCTCTTTTAGGACCATTAATATTGATGCACATTTAAAAAGACAACTTAAGAACTCCTACTTAATTTAATCCAATTTTAACATTCTATAACCTACTAAGCACTGTCATCAAAACATTCTTTGAAGACTGAAATGAAAGACATTTGTTTACTGGGATAAATCAGATAACACCTTAACCTCATGCACTAGAAACCTTATTTATTTTCTACAAATCAGAACCTAGGAAAAAAAAATCTGACCAGTTATTACTTTCTTCCCATTTTAATAAAGAACAAATGATTTTTGGATGTTTCTGATTATGAAAATAATCCTTACATACCAGTAGTATACTGCCCTACCAGTATTTTTTTCTTTTATAGAGGCAAATGGTGATTTGTTATATAAACAAGAACAATTTAGTTACATTAATTCAGGAAACTCTGAGACACTACTCTTGTAAACGGTACTATTTTTGTTTTGATAAAATTACATTAACTAAATTTCAATTATATATATCACTCACATTTTTGCCCTTAGCTACTAACTTACTTAAAACTTGCATACATTAAAAAACAAGAAAAATTACATCATTTTATCTAGGATTATACTTCCAAACTTAACATAAGAGAAAACACTATTTTACTTTCTCAAACTTAAATTTTCAAACTTTTGGACTAATACAGATTCCCTCACTTTTTATTTAAAAACATTTCTTATAGTTTTGTGGTAGATGAATTTTTATAACTTCAGGGTATTTTCATAATATCCAACCATGTGTTATTAAAAAGCAGCAACTAGGGCTGGGTGCAGTGGCTCATGCCTATAATCTCAGCACTTTAGGAGGCCAAGGTGGGTGGATCACGAGGTCAGGAGTCCAAGACCAGCCTAGGCAAGATGGTGAAAATCCGTCTCTATAAAAAATACAAAAATTAGCCTGGCATGGTGGTGCGTGCCTGTAGTCCCAGCTACTGGGGAGGCTGAGGCAGGAGAACTGCTTGAACCTGGGAGGCAGAGGTTGCAGTGAGCCTGCACTGCACTCCAGCCTGAGGAACAGAGTAAGACTCTGACTCAAGAAAACAAAAGGGCAGGGAGGGGCAGCAACTACAGAATACTCAAATATTGAAATCTCTAAATTAATTTGAAAATTTAATACATTATAAAATACATTAATAGCTAAAAGACAAAAACTTACTGAGCAATAAGTTGCTCATCCTCTTACAACTTAATGGGGTTTTGGGAAATTATTTGCATAGCCCCGAAGTCTTTTTAAAAAGCTGTCCAGGGAAGTAGGAAATGATGATTTTTCCCCCCTTTTTGATAAATATCCCATTAGCAAGCAGAGGCATTCAGAATTCCACTGAAGCAAGACTGTAATCCTCCTCTCTGGCCACTAGATGGAGAATTTGTGCGTCTGTAAATGATTGAAGTTTTAAGTGGCCAAAAGAATAATCAGGTCTAAATGTTTTAACATCACCAAATTCATAGAAAAGTAATTTTTAAAAAACAAAAAGCAGGAAGAGGCCATGGAGTTAATTTTATTAATTAAAAAAGACAAAAATGCTTCAATTTTGTCAGGCTTAAATATTTCACAAAACCCCACAAGCTTGCATCAAAACAGACGATGGCTATTTTGCTCAAAAGGCAGTGCACTGGCAGCTTGACTCATATTCATTTTATTTTGTAGTCATATCAAAGCTCTATGGTGAAAAAAGAATACTTTTTAAAAAAAATCTAAAGACAGAATAATTTCAAATCTTTAAAAAATGACTCAGATGAATATAAACCCAGTGTGCTATTTTTGCAAGAGTTATGTTACTTACAGCATCTTTTTTAGTCCACATGTGTCTCCCTTTTGTACAGCCCTCTTGGGCTAAGAATGTATTAAAATCAGAAGTTTTTCTTCTACAACAGCTCCAGTATTTCATCCTTTAAATTATCACAGAAAAACTTCAGAAATAAAATCTCACAACCAATTAAATCCAGAAGTATTTTAGGGATAAATCTGATTTTTAAGAAGTCAGTTAAGTATACAACTCCAGTATTTTACAAGTGTCTAAGTTACTAAACAGCTAAAAATGAATGGACAGTATATCAGGAAGACTGTATTTTAAAACCAGGTTGCCATTTATTATAGTAATCTTGGCATTCCTGAGTAGACACTTACAGAAATGATACCTGAAACACTTAGTCTTCCTGAATAAAGTCACTTAAAATCATCACCTATTCCAAATCAGCTTTTCACTGACGGCTGACACTCCATTTTCCTTGTGAAGCTACCAAAAACTTGTATGACCAAAGATTTATAATCTATTTCAATAAACCAATATAAACAAATTAAAAATGAATGATTATACAACAAATCCCAAAGTAGGTGAAACCTACTTATTGTTTACTTGAGATAAATCAAAAACAGGAAGTCAAAAATCATGGCAAAACTTCAGGTTTCAAGTCCTGAAGAATGTGGAAACAGAGTGGAAGATGTTTACATAGTGCTGCATTTCTGTAAACTAGAGCATAATATAGAAGAGAGGCTCTCAACTGCAGGATGTGGAAAAGTATGGGTCTTCTTGGGATAATGGTGTCTTAGTGCCCCAGGGCCCAAATTTCTAAATGCCCTGCAGTGTGTAGGACGGTCCTTCAAACAAAACATTTACCCCAAATAGACAGCATCACTTTTAAATACAGAATATAAAGAGAAACAGGCAGTTTATATCACAATGACCACTTAAGAACTGTAACTTTGTTTCCGTTTTCTCATGTATAAACATACAACATACAAACCCCTGTGTTTGTGTAGGCTATTGTGAAGATGTTAATGACAATGTAAGTAAAATGCCTAATAACAGCGCATGGCAAACAATGTTTAAAGACAGAAAGGTTTAACTTTTTAAATTCTACCATAAAGTATTTTAATAAGTCATGCATAAGTTACCCCTCATGGAAAATAGGTACTCCAGAATGATATACACAGACTTCTTCTAGACTCTCTAGACCCCGATATGTCTAAAAATGAAACAAAGAGAAAAAAAATTAGCTGTGCATCTCACAGTTACATATCATACATATTGCAGTACTGTTGACCTCTATGAACTTTGCAAAATACTTAAATAACAATTACCTAGAAAATTCATAAATCTATCCCACGCCATTCTGTTAAAAAATGAAAAATGATTCCCTTTTGGACTTGGTTAAGTTTTAGGTCCCTGTGAGAAAGTCATATTAAGATACTTTCAGCCTTTTGAGTATGAGATCCCATCCAATCATATTCAAGTACTTACTTAGTACTAATTAAGAAAACAATGTTGAAACCAAGGGATTAATACTCTCAATAGAAATACAGTTATGGCATGACTTATGTGTACAGTAAACTCCATGTAGGTATTATCAAATAATATGAGAAATCTAATAAGCAATTCTGGAAGTTCTAGAGTGATGGTGATTTCTTATCCCTATAAAGGGTAAAATGAGCTGCAGACCTATATATATATCCAGGGTTTGTCTGGAAGATCCGGGCCCCATTGCTGCTGTAGATGGAGGCTCTACAGATGAATTCACAAAAAATTATGTTAATAAAACATGGATGTAGCCAGTAGTATATTTTCTATTTTTGTATTTATAGCACTACCTACAAACAGAAAATAAAATTCTGTGTTTATCTTTTATAAATCCAAAGTACAGTACTAGATGTGTATATCTCCTTAAGATATTTCATAAGAACACAAAACTCGGTATGTTAGCATCTACTAAACTTAATGTTATTGCCCCCACATTCTATTCTTTTCCCCATATTATTTGATGGCACCATACAGACTCAGTTTGTCAAAGCAAAATCCATTAGTTCCTTTTCAGCATCTCCTCTCCCTCCACCCATAGGTAGTCTATAATGAAATCTCATCAATTTGACTTGAATATATCAATTTGTTGATCTTCCTCATAAGCTTGCAGATTTTAAGCAGACTATACTAACAAGTTTCTACTATTTGTCTTTGATTTCTATTTTCTACTATCTAATTATCAAATTACTATCACCCTCTTGTTTAAAGTTCTTTACATCCATGTCACACCTTATACATTAATCAGTTCTAGGTCATTTACATATTTAAATGTGCCTCCATATGAGAAAACACTCACAGCCCTGAAGTAAGCAATGGTTTCTTAAATAGAACATAGAAAACACTAGTCATAAAGAAAATGATGGACAAATTGGATTTTGTTAAAATTAAAAAGCCTGTGTTTATCAAAGTCATCATTAAGACAGTGAAAAAGCACAGAATTTCTGACAGGAGTCACAGATAAAATACATAAAGAATTCCTACAAATTGGTAGGAAAGAGACATTAGAGAGACAGGTAAAAGATTCTGCACACTTCACAAGAGGATATACAAATGGCTAATAAACATACATAAAAGCAGTTATCATGAAGGAAGTACAAATCAAAACCATGATGAAAACACTACACACACTAGAATGGTTAAAATACAAAAAAAAAAAAAAAAAAAAAATGGTATACCAAAATGTTAACAAACTGTAGGACAACTTGAATCAGCCTCACATACTGCTGGTAGAAATACAACCACTTTGGAAAACTATGTGGAAGTATCTGTTAATGCTAGAGATATACAGATGGGCATACCTAATCCAAAATCTGTTAACTTTTTGAGAGCCAACATGACAGTTAAAGAAAATACTCATGGAGCATTTCAGATTAGGGATGCTGAACTAATTGATAAGTATAATGCACATACGCCAACATTTTTTTAAAAAAATCCAAAATACTAGAAATGGAAATGTGTATATGTGTCACAAAAGTCATGCACAAGAATGTTCATAATATGGCGGGTGCGGTGGCTTCACGCCTGTAATCCCAGCACTTTGGGAGGCCAAGGCTGGTGGATCACCTGAGGTTCAGGAGTTTGAGACCAGCCTGGCCAACATGGTGAAACCTTGTCTCTAGTAAAAATACAAAAATTAGTCAGGCGTGGTGGGGGGCGCCTGTAAACCCAGCTAGCTACTCAGGAGGCTGAAGCAGAAGAATTGCTTGAACCTGGGAGGTGGAGGTTGCAGTGAGCCGAGATCCTACCATTGCACTCCAGGGTGGGTGACAAGAGCGAAACTCCATCTCAAAAAGAATGTTCATAATAGCATTATTAAAAAATTTTTTTAAATTAAAGGACAAATAAAGTAGAAATTATTTGTGGCACATTCAAATAATGACATACTTTAAACAAATACAAAGACAAAACCGTAACTACATGCAACAAAGATAAATAAAACAAGCATTATTATGCAGAAGACGACAAACACGGGTACATATTCTATGGTTATTTTTACATTAAACTCTGAAACAGAAAAAAACCTATGTTGATTGACAGAAAAACATTTGAGGGAGATAATGAATGAGAAAACACATAAGGAGTGCTCCGCACTGCTGGTGTGTTTAACTTTGTGAAAATCCCTTCAGCTATAAATTTATATCGGTCTATCGTTTAACAAACTTCAATGCTATGTTTCAATGAAAAAGACTAAAAATTTCTTCAATTTCAATGGCCTCCACAATCTAACGTACGATCTAACTTCCCTGCACCACTAAACCCTTTTAGGATCTGGCCAGGTCTACTTATCTCTATTAATCTCAACTCCACAGCAGCAAATTTGTACCATTACATCATTTTCTCTATACTTCTGCTATTACTTACACTTGAAATACCTTTTCTCTGTTTTTCCTGTCATTCACTTTTCAAAACGCATCTGATACCTTCTCCTTGATCTTCCTCTATTACCCTACCATTTGCATTGCCTTCCCCACTCCAGTAATTAATTCCTTTTTATCTACTACTTCTACCTCATACACATGTAAATACAATTATATCTCCATTCCTTAAATGATCTAAAATTTAACATGAGGAAAAAGTACAAACCTGCCCCTACCCCATTTTCACCTTGTTGGTCAATGGTGTCACCAATCACCCAGATGCTTGAATTCCCTTCACATCAAATCCATTAGCAAATCCTGCTATTACAGGCAGATGCTCCTTTGCTTACAACGTGGTTATAGCCTGATAATACCATCGTTAAGTCAAAAAAACCTTAAATTACACCATGGTAAGTTGGGAACCATCTGTACTTTTAAATTCTATCATTCATTCTACATGCACTGTTCTAAGCATTGAAGATACAAGAACAACAAAAATCCCTATCCTCACAACTTTTACTCAGCAGGGGGGTTAGATGGTATAGATCAGAAGCAAAATAAGTATGCAAAATAATACAAAGTTGTAAAAGCAATGGAGAAAAAAGGAAAGGGAGAAGAAATGTTGGAGGACATGCAAGTTTTATATCAAGTAGCAAGAGGTAGGAAAAGGCCTTACTGGTATGTTCGACTGCATCCCACATTTAATCACTTCTCAACAAACTACTCTCCAATCACATTATCTGGTCTTCCATAGTAGCATCCTAGCTGGTTTCTCGTCCTCCAGTTCCACTCCTGCTCCATCACTACATATTTAACACTCACCAGTCACAGAATCTTTTTAAAACCCTTCCGTAAAGCAAGTAATAGCTTCTCATAATATTTAGAATAAGGCCCAAATACCTCATCCTGGCTCAAAAGAACCACCATAATTTTGTCTCTCTCTCTTACCTGCTATCCTTGCCCAAGCTACACAGACCTTGTTATTCCTTGAATAGCCAAGTTCTAAAGCCTCTGCTCATGCTACTGCATCCGAAACACTTCACCCAGATTGACATAATCCATCCAGTACAATATGAAGATTTCTGATTTAGTGTTACAATCTCAAGAAGGGCTATGCACTCGTTAGTATGTTTTCTTATCATCCTGATTTTGTAATATCTACCTATTTGTTGCTCTTCTCCCCATTCTAGAATATCAGCTCCATAAGAACAGAAATGTTTGCTTTATTTGATACTATGTCTCCAGCCCATAAAATGTCTGGCACATAATAAGTGCTCAGTAAATGTTAAGTAAATTGGAATTACTTATTTTCATTATTCTACTGGACATGATGCTACTCAGTCTCTTATCCATGATTGTAGCCCTAGTCCCCAGCATAATGTCCAATATATAACATACATCCAAATGTTTTAATTGAGTCAGTGAACTGCACTTTTCTCAAAATTAAAATTTTACTTCATAACACATCACAAATCTTGTAATATATACCTTTGAACACCCTCCATTCTTACATGAGGTCCCAATCTTAATTTCATCATTGTCTTCTTCTGAAACGAAGAAAAAAAAATCAAGTTTAAAAGTTAAAATAGAACTTCACTGTGGCATCATTCTTAAAAAGTAGGTTTTCCCAGAAAACAATACTTTTTAAAAAATGACTGACTAGGTTTTGCTTATATCCCCAAAATGATATATGACACATTTCTTATTATTTTCTTTTGAGGACCTGGTGTCTTCGACAATGCAGGAAACAACTTTTTCCATAACAAAATGTTATATCCAATATTTTAACTTTGTAAAATAAATCATGAAAGGGTGTTTTCCTCCCATGGTACCAGGTATAAAGTCAGAGAATAGTGAATATATTTTGTATAATGTACAAGAAAACATTTTAAAATATCAAAGAAATTTAGCTGATTCTTAAAAAAATAATGAACCTGAGAGGCCGAGACGGGCAGATCACGAGGTCAGGAGATGGAGACCATCCTGGCCAACACGGTGAAACCCCGTCTCTACTAAAAAATACAAAAAACTAGCCGGGCGAGGTGGCGGGCGCCTGTGGTCCCAGCTACTTGGGAGGATGGAGCTACCCAGGAGGCGGAGCTTGCAGTGAGCTGAGATCCGGTCACTGCACTCCAGCCTGGGTGGCAGAGCGAGACTCTGTCTCAAAAAAAAATAATAATAATAATGAACCATGAAAGAAAAAAAATTTAATATAGGTTCTCATTTTGAATAAAGACATGGAATTAAACTATTAGGAGTATTTGTAGTTTTTCACATCTGACATTTAGAAGAAAAAAAGTTTCTTAACTACAATTTGCTACTTTTCCCTATTTATATGCAGTAAACTACTGTTCTCTCTTTTGGATAACTGCTTAACTGCACCATAAAATAATTACAATAAAACAAAATAAAATCTTACCTTTTTTATCTTCTTCATTCCCTGATGACAGTTTAAGTTTATCAAGTGCTTGTTTTAGGGAGGCAGATATTTTTAATTCCAAATTTGTCATTGGTTCATCTGGGCTGGAGAATTTTGAAACTTTATTACCATTATTTATATACTAAAATATTTCTTTGTACTCCAAATTAATAACCTTAAAAGCTTTTTGAGAAACCAAATGCTATGAGAATCAAATGATTCCCATTAAAAAGTTAAAAGAAGGTGTTTTATAAATAATTGTTACAATGTATCTACATTCTGTCTTAACAGAAAAGCTCCTTTTTAGAATAGCAAGTCTCAAATAATCACGCTATTGTCAGCATATTTAATTATTAATCAGTTGCACTAACGAGAAGGGAATAAAGACTAGGAATTCAACTTTTTCAAGATGAGTAATGCTGAGGAAGGGACCATAATGTACTTTTACATGCCATGCCCAAGCAAATGCTGAGCACATAATGAACATGAAATATAAGTAAGTTCTAAGTGAATCCATACTCACTTCTACCAGTGGGGATAATTTATGTGGACACTGGCATATGGATCCGTAAATTCAGATATAATCGCATTGTAAGGCAATTTCAGTAGGGTTAAAAAACCAACATCTAATATTTCATAATGGCTAAGTATTGTATACACAATTTAAGTACATTCAATAAATAAGTATTAATAATAGTAATAAACACAGCAACAAAAACAAAAATTGCAGGCTATTCGTTCTATATCCACAATGAAAAATCTGACGAAAGAGGCATTTTAAAAGTACATAGGCAAGGCATGGTCACTTATGCCCGTAATCCCAACACTTTTGGGAGGTTGAGACAAGAGGACTGCTTGAAGCCTGGGCAACAAAGAACCCTGTCTAGCAAAAAATAGAAAATATTAGTCAGTCACTGATATGGTTTCCCTGTGCCCCCCCTCCAAATCTCATCTTGAATTCTAGCTCCCATAATCCCTACAAGGTGCGTGAGGGAGCTGGTGGGAGGTAACTGAATCATGGGGATGCATTTTTCCCATGCTGTTCTCATGATAGCGAATATGTCTCAGAAGATTTGATGGTTTTTTCTTGCCTGCCACCATGTAAAACATTCCTTTATTACTCCGTCTGCCTTCTGCCATGATTGTGAGGCCTCCCCAGCCATATGGAACTGTGAGACCATGAAACCTCTTTTTCTTTATAAGTCACTTAGTCTCGAGTGTTTCTTCATAACAGTGTGAATACAGTAATAGTAGCATACATCTATAGTTCCAGGGAGGGTTAGGCAGGAGGATGGCTTGAGCCCAGGAGTTCAAGGCTGCAGTGAGCTATAATGCCACTGCATTACAGCCTGGGTAAGAGAGGGACTGTTCCTCTTAAAAAAAAGAAAAAAAAGTATGTAAAAACCTACATCCTCATAATTTGTATAATACCACTAAATGAATTTAGGAGAAAATATTTAATTTTTCTCATCTCATTGCCTTTCTTCCTTTTTTAAAGAGTCAATCTCAAGATCCTCCTGCCTCAGCCTGAGTAGCTGCAACTACATGAGCACACCACTAAACCCCGCTAATCTTTTTTTTTTCTTGGAGAGATAGGATCTGGTTCAGATTGGTCTCAAACTCCTGGGCTCAAAGGAACCTCCCTCCTGGGCTTCTCAAAGTGCTGGATTATGAGCTTGAGCCACAGTGCCTGACCTCTTACTGCCCTTTAGTAAAATAATGGCTCAACATTTAAAAAAAAATTAACTCATACTATTACAGTATAGACTCTATTATATTACTAAAGAGATTAACAATGAGCCATGACGGAAGTTTTGTCTTTTCCCAATTATTTTTCTAACTGCTAAATTGGCCAACAAAGCATTCAATGGTTTCTTCTAACTATGAAGATGGAGAGAGAATAAAATCATCCTGAGTAGTTTCCTTAGCAATCTGTACTCAGAGTGTAATGAACAAATAAGCACCTAAAGTTTCTTAGGGTTCTTGTCTTGGTTCTATATTATTCAATACTCTATAAATTTATTTAAGTAGGATCAATGGAGAATAAAAGGAAAATCATGAGTTCATAGCATGAATAAAAATTGCAATAGATGCCTACTTGCAGCCAAAAAAAAGTCACTTTTTTAAAAGTTCTGAAGTTTTCTTCTAAAACAATTTAGTACTCAAGTGTAGCATGAAGACCTGGTTCAACAAAGGTATTCAATATACATGCGTGGGAATACAGAGTCTGGTTATCAGAAGGCGAGTATGAAGAATCTGTACTATTCTATTGCACAATGAGCAAAAGTTTTTTTAAGACTTTCACAAATATGTCACCTAAATCAAATGCATTAAAAATTGACCAGTAGTAATGAGATTTAACAGTAGTTTTCAGGGATCTGAAAGTAAAGATGGATGATTAGGCCTCTGCATTATTTTCTACTTCAAACAGATTCCATGACACGGAAAACCGCTTCAAAGAATTTCACCATGCCACAGTGAAAAAGATGCACAAGAAAAACGTGTGACTTCCCCACCCTGATGATACATGTCCCTGTAATTATGACAATACAATATGCAAATCTCTTATGTGGTTGTATTGTGTACATGCTCTCAAGTTGAAGAGAAATAAAAATTTAAGGCAGATTTAAGGGAGAAACCAAATGGTTCAAAGCTTGGTGGCCTACATAGTAGCTACAAATGGTATCATGCTAAATCATAAAGGAAAGTACCATGCACAAGTGCTACTATTCAAGTGTGACAAAAATATGTAACTGTATAAAGTATACCTTGGTCTTTTTATTGCTTCTACTGGCTTAGGGGCTTGAATGATGTGTTCCTGAAATTTAGGTTTTAATTCAGATAGTTCCTTCTTCTCAGTAGTCTTTACTTCAGGTTTGACTGGCTCAGGTGGTTTCTCACTATTATGTCTACCTTTTGTACAGCCCTGTTAATGAAAGATATTCATTAAGAGCTATATATTTTACATTTCATGATAGAAACACTATCTTTTCAATTCTTTATTGATTCTATTTCATGTTTTCTCCAGTTTCATAATATTGATTTTAAGAAATTAAAAACAGAATTCCAAATGTGCTATATTTGGTTAATCTCTGAATGTTTTTTAAAAAAGTTTTTGAATTACACTTCATAAACACCTACTTATTCGATTAAAAATACAGCATAAACCTCTTATTTACAGAAGAATTCTGGAGAATCTCACAAAGAACTGTAAAAAATAGTTTCACATAAAAATCTGTTACTCAAAAAGGCCTCAATTTGAGACCTAGTTCTCAACATACTTATTAGTTACATGACCTTAAGCAAGACAATCTTTTTAAACCTCCATTTCCTCATTTGTAAAATGGAGGTACTCTTGGGTAAGATATTTTCTGAAAGGGTTAAATAATATAATGCCTGGCACATTTGGCAGGTGATAACCTTCAACAAATGTTAGTTACTTTTCTACTGCATTCTACTGAATTATATATACTCTTTAACACCTCTGAAATAATACAATCAATAGCATTATCAGTTTGTTAGTAGCTTTAGTTTTCTTAGTGGTATATAAAATGGTTTTATATAAAAGTGATATATAAAATATTTCAACAGTATCTTAGATAAAACTTCATCATTCCTAACTGAAAAGGCTTTAAATTGTTGCTTACCACTTTATCCTTCTTGATGTTCTTTTAACATAACAGAAAGAACAAATCTAAAATGATAAGCAGGTAACTAATATCTTAAAACGTTAACTTCCAAAACAGATTCTTTATTTTACAAGCTGTGGAAGGGAGATGAGCTGCTTTTTAAAAGGTGTTATCTGCAAGTTGATGAAGACACCAATCAATCTGTATCAGAAATCAGACTCCTCAAATCTGAAGCTTTCTGTAACATGTGTTTTTAGGAAGATAATCTAGAAAAAAAAATTAGTACTTACTACAATGCTTAAGAAATCAGAAAAATCAGTTGTTCTTCTCTTACAGCAAGACCAACCCTATGGAAAACAAGAGAAAGAAATTAAAAACTCTATTTGCACGGGAACCACGACCCACTAAAACACTCTACTTACACTTATCTACTTGAATCCTGCAGTAACTTGCGTATACATAGAGTGTAAAATTTCAGTGTTGCATATAATTCACCTAATCAAGTAAAATGAATATTAATCTTTGATTTTTAAAAATCCAATTAACCAATGTTAAAGTGATTTGCGCTGTGCCCTATCATCAAGGGAAGCCACCTTTATAAAACAAAAACGGCTTTTCTTTTCAACAATCGGGTCTGCTTATTAAAAGAAAAACACGTTATAATTCCTAAAACTATCACATAAAGAATATTCAAAGTAAGTATAGGTATTTTACTTTTAAAATCTACTAAGTTAACGATAATAACTATAATTTAGTTTTTAAACAAAATCTATTACAGTTTCACAATAAGCATTCTATTTTCAGAACAACAAAGATTAATTAACACAGTAGCCAAAGCACTGTTAAGTCTTTGAAGGTGATCTTTTCAGTGAGAAGCATGAAGACACAGAAACTATTACTATTTGTAACTTTTGAACAATCAAGTAGTTTACCAAAAAATGGTTTTAATAATTATCTCTTAATCCCAATGTTTATAGAGAAAAGGGAAACAAAAATGCAAAATCTCAAAACGTGGAACTTCAGATGAAGATTTGGGACTAAATTCAGATTAAGAGGCAACTTTGCACACATCCACCTGGACCTCGCTGATTTTCAAAAGAATGCATAAAAATTAGGTAGTGATTTTTCTCATAATATGCACCTGTAGGTTCCTTTTCTTTAAAGGTAATTTCAAATATCCTATAATTCAAATTTTCCTTTATTTTGAAATTTAATTATCTTTTACTCTGAGATGTAGATCAATCACTACAACCTTAAATATAGGGTTTAAATAGCATCAATAATATAGTCAATAGAAAAGTTATTCTATAAAAGTTTTACTGTCTTTATCATGTACTGAATTATGTCAGATACTGTGACACATACACGTAAAATATGATATAGGCCAGCTGTTCCCAAATGCCAATCTGGATTCTATGCTAGTCTTCAGTACAATGAGAAAAGGAAAGATAAATTTAAGTTATGTGAATATAAGGTTGCTAGTTGTCTTTTTTCAGCAAGATTGTCCTTTTCTCCGAATATGCCCCTTCCAATACTAAAATAGTCTTTCTTTTGTCAATGCAATGTTTAACTTCTTACTTCCTCAATCAACTAGTATCCCTTTATTGATGTATATACATTGTGTCTGAAATCTTCTGGACTGTGAGATCCAATAACCTTGGAAAGTCTAGGACTTTAAGAAATGGTTATAAAATAGAGACTATAATAAACGCTACAACTGCAGAAGAGAGAGAAGCAAAAATACTTCCAAGTGAAATCATTAAGACTTGGACTGATTAACAACGCAGTAAGAGAAAAAACAGGCAATGGACCAAATGGTCAGAAAGTCAGTAGTATCATTACTAGGAGCAGTAAAGTTGAGAGGCAGACTACTTTTGGAATACATGGTACACACTAGAAACTGGTCTGACGTTGCCAATGAGACACATAAATAGAAATGTGTTGTAAGAGCCACCGGCGTAGAGGTGACATTTGAGAAAATGAATGAATGAACTGAATGAGAGAAAACAGCCAAAGGTTACCTTTAACAGCTAAGAGGAAAACAGCATAAGGAAAAAAAGAAAAAGATACAGTAAAACAAAAATAGCAGAATAAATGGCAGTCTAGGAAAGATAAAATTCCTCAAAAGGAAAAATAAACATTTCCACAGCACCACAGTTTCCACCACCACAAAGATTTGTAAAAACTAAAAAAAATGTATGGAGGAATAAGGTCTCAACTTGTCCTACTGAATGTCTTCTGTTTTCCTCACTCAGGACTAACCAGACTAATACATCTTTTGTTAGATTTAGTGGTGTAACAGTGAAGTGCCAAAACAGTCTAACTACTCTTTGGAAGGTATAATTAGACATTTAAAGGGCACCAACAATATTTAAACATGTTAAGACTGCTTATGTTTCTGAGAACCAAAGTTGCAGAACCTAAACCCATGGCAGCCCTATCACAGCATTATCTTTTGAGATATACAAAGGAAACTCTTTAAATGTATCATATTATCATGAATTTTAAAAAGACAACCAGCAAAACCTAGTCAAACAACATTGTACTAATTCTCCATAACATCAAAGAAAACAGGTAACGTTTCTTTGAAGTAGAAACACTCTAAACTTACATGTCTGTCCGGAGACTGGCACTTCTGTCCCGAGACTGGCACTAAGTGTTTATAACAATCTTTTCTAAAATTCAGAGCTGTTATTAGCCAGTAGTGACAGACTGAGATTCAATATGACCACTCTATTTCCCCTCAAAATTAGAAAAGTGAAGAAAGGGGTGCAGAAAATGAAAATAAAGACCAGGCACGGTAATCCCAGCACTTCGGGAGGCTGAGCCAGGTGGATCATCTGAGGTCAGGAGTTGGAGACCAGCCTGGCCAACATGATGAAACCCTGTCTCTACTAAAAATACAACAATTAGCTGCGCATGGTGGCGGGTGCCTGTAATCCCAGCTCCTCAGGAGGCTGAGGTGGAATCGCTTGAACCCAGGAGGCAGACGTTGCAGCGAGCTGAGATCACGCCACTGCACTCCAACCTGGGTGACACAGTGAGACTCCATCTCAAAAAAAAATAAAAAATAAAAAAAACCCACACACACACAAGAGAGAGAATTAAAATACAATTTTATAACTGGAAAAGACTTTAAGATCACCATCTACTGTCTTTTCTTTGCCTTTAGTGAAAAAGGCACACTTAAAGCACCCGCCCACCAAAGGTCATTAAGAACTCACTAGCTGAGAAAAAAAAGATGAGAAAATAAAGATTTAGTATTACATCTCTCAATTCACTACAGTTATGAAGAAAATGAAAATATACTTCCTACCTTCAATGCATCGTGAAAGACTGGAACACCTGGGTGGTATGTGCAAGCATCTGCAGAAAACAGAAGAAAAAAAAGTACCACTTTTTTTACAATGAAGAAAAATATATACATGATCATCTCCTTAAGGTGTTAACCTTTAATCCTTTTACCAAACGCGGGTACTTTAAAAAGGTACAAATGACTGAGTTTGATGCGTAGCACAAAGTGTACTATGTTAAAAGAGTAATAATTCTAATTCAAGAGTATGATGACTAAAGATAAAAATGCAGAATTGCTTACGTGTAACAATTATATTTTATATTCCCTTAATCTGGGTAGTAAAATTTGTTTAGTACCAAAACTTCAAACCCCCAAATTTTGACCAGCATTTTTCAAATCTGCTTTTACAAATATACTATCAAACTTGAAGTATTCTTACGTGCATTAATCCATAAAGGTTTCACAAGAGATTTCCTAAAAGGCATTTTGTAATAACAGGCTCAAGATTTTAAATACTGTAAATATTTTTTGCAGTATCTAATTGCTAATTTAACTTTCCTAGACAGCAGTCAATTCCTAGCTAAAAACCTCACTAAAAAGACGACTAGAGCGCCTCTGCCCACCCCCCCTCCCCCTCCCCACACCGTATGGGAAGTGAGGAGGAGCGTCTCTGCCTGGCCGCTGTGCAACCTTCCAAGTGTGAAGTGACAGCTGTGTGTGTGATATTTCTGCCTTCCCCAAGTGTGAATTTTCGACATTAAAGTTTACTTTTTAATTAAAAAAAAAGTCGTCTAGGCCGGCCCGGTGGCTCACGCCTGTAATTCCAACACTTTGGGAGGCTGAGGTGGGCAGATCACCTAAGGTTAGGCGTTTGAGACCAGCCTAGCCAACATGGTGAAACCCCTTGTCTACTAAAAAATACAAAAATTAGTCGGGCGTGGTAGTGTATGCCTGTAGTCGGAAGGCTGAGGCAGGAGAATTGCTTGAACTTGGGAAGCAGAGTTTGCAGCGAGTCAAGATCAGGCCACTGCACTCCAGCCTAGGCAACAGAGCAAGACTCCATCTTAAAAACAAACACACTCTGAAGTTCTACAGCCTATTTTCAAGATTCTCACTGGGTGTTATTCTGTACTTCCCTCCCCACTACACCATCAATCTTTACTTCTCTTATGTAAAGGGGTTTATTACAATTTGTGTTGGGAACAGGCCCCCAAATCTGGCTATTAACTGGCCCCAAAACTGGCCATAAACAAAATCTCTGCAGCACTGTGACATGCTCGTGACAGCCTTGACGCCCAGGCTAGAAGGTCGTGGGTTTACCTGAATGGGGGCAAGGAACCCCTGGCCCACCCAGGGCGGAAAACCGCTTAAGGCGTTCTTAAACCACAAACAATAGCATGAGCGATCTGTGCCTTAAGGACACGTTCATGCTGCAGACACCTACCCAGAGCCCATCCCTTTATTTCCGGCAAGGAATACTTTTAGTAAATGTTATGATTGGCTTGCTGTCAATAAACACGTGGGTAAATCTCTGTTCGAGGCTCTCAGCTCTGAAGGCTAAGAGACCCCTGATTTCCCACTCCACACTCTGTATTTCTGTGTGTGTGTCTTTAATTCCTCTAGTGCCACCAGGTTAGGGTATCCACGACCGAGCTGGTCTCAGCAATTTGCAAGATGGAGTACCATATTTTTAAAAATCAGGTTAACAGTCAGCTTCATCCCTCCGCAATCTGCTTATAAGACCATCTTTCAACCTTTCAATTCTATTTAGCTTTCAATGCTCTACAACAACCTTGTCCAACATGCCACCCCAGACGACTCTGAATGTAGCCCAACACAAATTCGTAAACTTTCTTAAAACATTATGAATTTTTTTTCTGTTTTTGTTTTCTTTTAAGCTCATCAGCTATCATTAGTGTTAGTGTATATTCATGTGTGGTCCAATTACTCTTCTTCCAATGTGGCCCAGATAATTCTCCTTTTTCCAATGTTGCCCAGGGAAGCCAAAACATTGGGTACCCTTGCTCTACCACTTGATTCCTGGTACTGCCTCAAAGTAATTCATTAATGGTGCTCACAGAAATCTCCCCGCTCCGTTATTAGCCAGTATTGCTTCCTTAGTAACCATGTGCTGCATAGATACCAGCTAATGTAGAAAGTGTTAGAGGTCTCTTCCTGATACAGTAAGTAAACCCGTGGATCAGAAAGATGTTATTAATTAAGGGTAGCTGTGGAATTAAGGGCCGAAAAAGGAGGCTGGAAGTAGAAAAGGATACGCAAAAGGACATGAATTTGAGAGGGGAATGGAAGCAGAGAATAGATTCAGTATTTTCAAACACTAAACTTAAACATAAAACGCACAATGTATAACAGAGTCAGAGGCATAAAATGTCACAATAATAGTCAATTTTGGCAGCATGGCAGCAGGAATGAGTCAGATCTGAACCATACAACTAGTATGAACACAATTTGAAAGTCACTGCTTTCAAAAACAAGAAGTTACAAGCAAATGGACATTCTTCATCATTTCTTTAACGTCCATCCTTTCTTCATCAGTTTTAAGAGTTTTGGTAAAATTAATATTTTATGGGTGAGAAGCTACAACACAGTAGTAGTGGTTAAGTGTCCAGGGCATCTAACATTGGGTCTGACCCTGGCTAAATTTCTCAGAGCTGCTCGCTGGTAGTTCCCTCAGTTTTCCTTGTATACGTCGATTAAATAAAATACTGTTTGTGAAGCTGTGTTTATTAAAGAATAAGTGTTTAACCTATGTAAGTTACCAACTGTGTCTTCCTTAAACACTCTTTAACTTGCGTTAAAAATTTAAACGTTCTATCAGCTTAAAAGGGAGTCTAATTTCTGTCCCCAAGAGGAAAAATAAATCATGAGACTAAGTCAACAAGCATGGTAATTATGCCATAGCACCAAGAAAAAAAAGGATTTATTGTAGATTAAGACATATTTAAAGATAACAGATGTAGCATCTGGCTTACGCAAAATATAACTTGCTTGTGTATTTATCTCTTTTAACTTACTTCCGTCAACTGTACAAAGGCAAACCTCTTCCTAAAAAACCTCCTAACCAACCTTGTAGTTTTTGTCTCCTACTCCGTATCTCCATTTTCTTCTCCTTCCATTCACTCAATTTACTTGACAAATTTATTCTAAGTCTCTTTAAAAACCGTCATTTCGCAAAAGTAAATATACTTTTAGCGATCTTATTGAAATTTCTCTGCTGTAACTGATACTGCTGACCACCCAATTTTTGAGACAGTTTTCCTGGTCGCTTTGTTTCCTAGGCACTGCAACAATTCACAGATGGATACAGACTTCCAACAAATGACGATCTCCCCTGAACTTTACTCTCCCATAAGCAAAGCGTCAGGCTTTCTCCTGTATTCTATATAAAAGCAGAATATCTGCAGACATAAGTGCAATTAATTTTTTACATAGGCTGCCAACACCAAAGGGCTTTAAAATCATTTCTCGATTTTGTCATCCACTGAAATCTCACAATTTTCCTCTTGAGTAGCATATTTGCATCATAAAAATGTCAGCGGTGGTAACTTGAGTATTGCATAGGTTGGATTTTCCTTTTCCTTAAAACCCTGTATCAATGGTCTTATTTTAAATAGCGCCATCAATTTACCTGTGTTCCAAAAATAAGTATTTCAAACATCTCAGAGGTGAAGAGTTCAAAAGGCATCAGTTTTCATCTCCTCCACAAAAATGAAGGATCTTATTAATACTACCTCATTGAACTGAGCTTCTCTATCAAAAGGGTCTAAGTAACACGGCATGCGTCCCAGGGTTGTTATGAAGATTAAATAAGATGATAAAGCGATAATGTCTGGCATGCAGAAAACGTAAACTAAATGCTAATTCAATCTGAAAACGTGTTGTCACTTCTCACAATACGCAAGGAATCATCTTCCTTATCAATCAAAACTTCAATTCACTGATCACTTCCCGTCCTTCATCTAATAGTCATTTTCGCTTTGGATCCTTAGCTCGACATCTAGGTGCTGTAGATCACATTCGCTCATTTTATAGTGGAGTCAGCACGGTAGTAAAACGTGGAGGCCACAAGAACAAGCAACAAATGCCGCTAGTAAGAAAAAGATAACTAACGTACCACCAGGATGAACCTATCAAAACAGCGTAAAGATACAGAGTATTGTCCCTTACCAAGAACACTTGTAAGAGGTTTGTAACAGCGGATCGACTGAACACAAACTTCTATAAGGAAGAGCTTACATGCTAAGGCAACCCGCTGCTCATCCCGGCCACCTCTCCCTCTCGCGCAGGCAATCACAGCCAACACTACTTGGGGAGCTACAAAGCAAGCTCACCAGCACCTCGTTAACTTTTGCTTCTCCGAGGAGAAAGGTGTTCGTTCTAAATTCCAGGCGACTTAAAAGGAGTGAGGGGACGACGGGGGAAACACGTGGATCCAGAGGTGCGTCTCTCTCCGCAGTGGCAGAGGTCAGGCGCCCGCGCCAGGCGCTCGCCAAGGGAACGCGGCGCACCAGAGGGGCGGCCGGCGGGCTGTGCGGGCGGCCAAGGGAGGCCCAGGAGGGGCATGAACCTGGGGCCGCGCGAGGACGGCTGCAGGAGATCTGCGGACACCCTCGGGCCCAAAGGGCCTCCCCCACTGACGAGGTGGAGAGGGGCTGGAGGGCTGGCGGCGCGTTCCTCTTACCGTCGGAATTGGTCTCGGGATCGAAGCGCTGACCGCAGCCCCGGTTGTAGCACAGCAAGGCCATTTTATTTTCCCACCGTCACAGGCAAGGCCCAAGCACCGGGAACGGCAAGAAGACGCGTTAGCCACTACCGTGTCGCTAGCACCGGTCTGACGACTGAGGCGGCTACCGGCTTCCGGAAACGATCTGTTGCGTTTCAGGAACCTTCGCGAATTTTCCGGTCGCGCAGGCGCAGAGGAAACGGGAAGAGGCGGAGGTAGCTGCGGGAGGCCGGCCCTAGCCCCAGCCGCCATAGGTTGGACTACTGCTGGTAGCAACTGGGGATCGGAAGTGGAGCCCAGACGATAGCGGAAGATAAATGTACCGGGCAGAAAATGAAGGTGTCCAAGAGACTGATAGCTTTCTTCTGACTTCCTCAGTGCTCACTGGCTGTGGGTCTCACCCGCAGCAAAGTGGCCGTCCCGCCCTCACATCCCCTGCGACCCAACACCCTTCTTCTTGCCTTGAGGCTGCGCCTTAGACAGCCCGGTGGGTATCTGTTTACCCCTTAGCTGTGCACACTAAGTGCACAATCGTACAGTGTTTTCAAATCCTCAGGATAGACGTGTGAGCTTAGTAAATGAGGGGAGGAAGAGCGGACGAACCTCTCCGTGTGTCTGTGTTTCGGTGTCCTCATCTCAGGAGCAATTTTAGTAACAGTTGCGGTCACATTATTTTCAAAATACAAAAAAAGTAAAAATTAGAGTAGCAAAGAAAATTATGGATTTGATGCTGTGCCAGAATTGATCACAATTGCTCTAAGGCCCTGGGGGTAATTGTTAATATTTCATATGAGCCTCCACTTAAGCGATTTATCAATACTCAGTACTCCACCTTTGGAACACCTAGTAAAACTTTCAAGTGCATTATAAAAAGTACAGTAATGCCTTGGCTTCAAATTGCATATTTCCCAAACATGGGGCGTTTGCAAGAAAAGCGAACACTTTTTGGTAACATATTCTGAAGTATCTTAAAATAAGATCAGTAGCATGTAAGTAAACCTAAAAATCTATACACTGTTTCCATTGATCTCAAGATTATTTAGAGATCCGCTCACCCCCTCCTACCCCTGAAGACTTTTTAGTTTTTCAAATATTCTGCTTCTCCTCTTCTACCTAGAAGTATTAAATTTTCATATTGCAATCCCAACATAGATAGATATGTTTTCTTCTTCATTTAACCTAAAGTGAATATTTTTTTATTTGGTTTCATAATCATTGTTACAAATGACGGAGTATTCTGTTGAATAAATGCACGGTAATTTAACCTTTCTCTAACTTTATTATATGTAAGTTACAATGATCATCTTGTGTATGTTTTTCTTATTTCAAATTTCCCCCTTTAGGAAAATTTTTGGAAAGCGACAGTTCTGGGGTAAAGGGCATAAGCCTTTTTAAATAACTTTTAAGAGTTTGAAGATGTATAGAGCCAATTGCTTTCCAAAAGGTGGTACCAGTTTACAGTTTCACCAGCTGTGAATGTAAGTAATAGACCGTAGAAATTAATCATACATAATTGGAAATGAATAAGTGGAGAGCTCTAAAAAGTTTTAGTTGTGACCAAATCTGTTGTCTTGAGTATCCTAGTATCAATGCAACATTGCCAGGATTGTTAGTGAACTAAACCTTTTAAATAATTTTAATGTTTATTTCTAGTTTTTCGTCTGTAGCATTTTACAATCAGAATATAATTGCTTAGGGTAGATAATTTGGAAAATGAAGAAGTATACTAAGAACAAAGTCAGCGATAATTCCACCACCCAGCAATAAGCACTGAATGGCTAAAATAACTCTTTGGTAAATGTATTTTCAGTGTTTCCTGTCACCCCAAGCATTTGTAGGTATATATGTTTAAAAAGAGTCATATTATATATAGGAGTTTATGTTCCTCCCTTGGGTATTTTGAGAAACTATAAAATTAAATCATTCTTATGATTAAGAAAAACAGTGATACAGCAACAGCCTGTTTCAATCGCACCTCCACTTACATTTCCATTCCAACACTTCAGTGCCGACTACCACCCACTGTTTGAAAAACTTTCTGGCATTTACGTGTATATTTTATACACACTTTGAGTATATCTTCCCTTCCTTCTTTACCCACATACGTATCAAAATATGCTTTAACTTTGACTATCTTGTTATTAACAAAAGACTTAAATAAATATGTTAACATAAAACAATTGTCAATTATCTTGGTGCAAAGTGGATGTTTATCATAGTACTCTCTTTTTCTGCATTTAAAAATATTTCCTAAAAAAATTCAGTTAAATAAGCTCGGTTATCTGGGCTGGGTGCTGTGGCTTACGGCTATAATCCCAGTACTTGGGAAGCCAAAGTAGGTGGATCACCTGAGGTCAGAAGTTTGAGACCAGCCTGACCAACATGACGAAACCCTGTCTCTACTAAAAATACAAAAAAATTAGTCGGGTATAGTGGCGCATGCGTGTAACCCCAGCTCCTCGGGAGGCGGAGGCAAGAGAATCACTTGAACCTGGGAGGCAGAGGTTGCAATGAGCTGAGATCACGCCATTGCATTCCAGCCAGGGTAACAAGAGCAAAACTGTATCTCAAATAATACTGTTATAATAATAATAATTAATAAAGTTCCATTATCTTAAAAACGATTGTAGATATGATGTGTATGTATCTATGTAAGTGTATAAAATAATACTTGAAAAGACCATTAATCTTTTATAATAATGGCTATGTATAAAGGCAAGGATGAGCTTAAAGGAGTAAAGTTAATATTTTATTTTATACTCTTAGATTTTTTTGAAAATATAAATACATATTCATTTTTGATATAGTTAACGTAAAGAGGACAAAAAACCAACTTTTCAATGACTATTTTTATTTGGTCTACTTTATACTTAGAAAGATATGAAAATTTCATCCATTATGATTGTGCTTTGAGCAGTTTGTGGTTTATGTATTTTGAACATGTATTATTCATCCTATAACGATGCATGTCTTTTATATTTACATAGTTTATGTTTTTAATATAAAAGACCTTTTTTGTATCATTTTGTATTTTTGTCTTGAAATCTACCTTGTTATTGATGCTTCAACTTTTGCTATGTTTCTCTTTGTTTTTGCCTAATAGACCTCACCCTATCCATTTATATTTAACCTGTGTAATCTTGTTTTGGGCATATCTGCCGTAAGCAGTAGATAGATTTCATCTTATTTTTCTTTTTTGAACTCAAATCTGAGAATCTTTTTGTTTTACAGAGAAGCTTAACCTTTTTTTTTCCTGTTAATGCTTGAAAGTGCAGGTGCCAAAGTGGCCCAGAACTTATTAATGCTTTTGTAAGTCAATTAGCGTCAATAAGCCTGAGTTTTCTTATCTGTAAAACATTGATAATAGAGTGCTGTGAAGATTAAGTTAAACAATGTATGTGAAACATATAGTTTAGTGTAAGCACTGAATATTAATTTCACAAAAGTTTAGCAATGAAAACGGTCAACTAAGATGTTTGGTTATTTCACTTTTCCCTTTTGTATGCAGTTGTGTCTGCTTCCTTGTTTTTATTTTATTCTATTTTCTAAGTAAAGCATGTGCTTGCTTTTTTATTTCGTCCACGATTTATTTTATATATACATATAGGTTTTAATTTATTTCAACGGGTATTAAGTAGTTAATGTGTGTTGGTACATTAGATGCAGGTTACAGTTGTGAACCGAAGTGACATTTTACCTGTCTTCATTGTATTTGAATTTTATAAGAAAGATGTGAATCAAATATTCCCGATTATGAATTCAATCACGGATAATTGCCATAATTGCTATGAATGAAAAGTATGTTATTCTAAGTTAGTGGAGATGGGAATTTGCCTAATCCTGAGTTGGGGGTGCAGGCATAGGTGTTAGTCTAAACAGAAGTCCTGCAGTGGGAGGTAGTGTAATATTAAAGAAAGCACAGAGTCATCGAGATAAACCAATGCTCAGAAAGAAGGGATGCCAGATGTATTAGGACATTCTTGCATTGCTATAAAGAAATACCCAAGACTGGATAATTTATAAGAAAAGAGGCTTAATTGGCTTACATTTCTGCAGGCTATCCAGGAGGGGCTCAGGAGACTTTAACTCATGGCAGAAGGCAAAGTGGGAGCTTGTACTTCACACGAGTAAATGCTGGAGCAAGTGGTAGGGGAGGTGCCACATACTTTTAAATGACCAGATCTCATGTGAACTCAGCTGGAGAACTCACTCATCACCCAGGGGATGGCCCAAGCCATTCATGAGAGATAACACCCCCGTGACCCAAACACCTCCCACCAGGCCCCATCTCCAAGATTGGGGATTATATTTCAACATGAGATTTGGGCAGGGACAAATATCCAAACTGTATAATTCTTCTCCTGGCCCCTCCCAAATCTCATGTCCTCACATTGCAAAATAGAATCATACTCTCAGCAGTCCCCCAAAATCTTGACCTTTGCCAGATTTAACTCAAAAGTCCAAAGTTTCATCTGAGACAAGACAAATCCCTTCCACCTATGAGCCTGTAAAATAAACAAGTTAGTTACTTCCAAGATACAATGGGTGTATAGGCATTGGGTAAACATTCCCGTTCCAAAAGGGAGAAATTGGCTAAAAGAAAGGGGCTACGGGCTCCATGCAAGTCAAAACCCAAGCAGGCAGTCATTAAATATTAAAGCTCCAATGTAATCCCCTTTGACTCCATGTTCCACGTCCAGGGCACACTGGTGCAAGGGGAGGACTCCCAAGGCCTTGGGCAGCTCTGCCCCTATACCTTTGCAGAGTACAGCTCCCCCAACTGCTCTCATGGACTGGGGTTGAGTGCCTGTGGATTTTCCAGGTACAGAGTATAGACTGCTGGTAGATCTACTATTCTCATGTCTAAAGGATGGTGGCCCCCTTCTCACAGTTCCACTAGGCAGTGCTCATTAGAGACTTTGTGTGGGGGCCCCAGCCCCATATTTCCCCTCCACATTGCCCTAGTAGAGGTTGTCTGTGAGGACTCTGCCCCTGCAGCAGGCTTCTGCATGGACATCCAGGCTTTTTCATGCATCCTCTGAAACCTACACAGAGGCTTCCAAGCCTCAACTCTGGCACTCTGTACACCCACAGGCTTAACATGGCGTGGAAATCATGTAAGCTTATGGCTTGCATCCTCCAAAGTGGCAGCCTGAGCTGTACCTGGACCCTATTACGCCATAGCTGGAACTGGAGTGGCTGGGATTTGGGGAGAGCAGTTTGCCAAGGGCTTGGTCCATGGTCTCTCCTAAGGTCTCTGATGGGCGGGGCTGTCATGAAGGTCTCTGAAATGCCTTCAAGTTGTTTTCCCCATTGTCTTGGATAGTAGCACTTGGCTCCCTTTTAGTTATGCCAATGTATCTAGCAGGTGGTTGCTCCACAACCTGCTTGAATTCCTCTACCAAAAAAGCTTTTTCTTTCTCTGCCATGTGGCTAGGCTGCAAAATTTCCAAATATTTATGCTCTGTTTCCTCTTCAAATATAAATTTCTACTTTAAGCCATTTCTTTGCTTCTGTATCTAAGCATAGGTTGTTAGAAACAGCCAGGCCACATCTTGAGCACTTTGCTGCTTAGAAATTTCTTCTGTCAAATACCCTAGGTTATCGCTCTCAAGTTCAAATTTCCTCACATACCCAGGGCATAAACAGAATGCAGCCAAGCTCTTTCCTATGACATAACATGTGTGACCTTTGCTCCAATTCCCAATAAGTTCCTCATTTTCATCTCAGATCTTGTCAGCCTGGATTTCATTTTCCATATCACTATCAGCATTTTGGTCACAATCATTTAAGCAGTCTCTAAGAAGTTGCAAACTTACTCTTATCTTCCTGTCTTCTCTAGAAAGACATACTCCACATGATCCTAACCTCTGGCCGTTATCCAATTTCAAAGCTGTTTCCACATTTTCAGGTATTTTTG